TGTCTCAAAAAAAAAAAAAAAAAAAAAAAGAATGTTGTGGCTGGTTTCACCTTCTATCCAGACCACTCAAACCATCTCCATTGCAGTTGTGGCCCAGGCTGGAGTGCAACGGCACAATGTTGGTTCACTGAAACCTCCACCTCCTGGGTTCAAGCAGTTCTCCTGCCTCAGCCTCCCGAGTAGCTGGGATTACAGGCACCTGCCACCATGCTGGCTTTTTTTTTTTTTTTTGTATTTTTAGTAAAGATGGGGTTTTGCCATATTGGCCAGGCTGGTTTCAAACTCCTGACCTTGTGATCTGCCCACCTCAGCCTCCCAAAGAGCTGGGATTACAGGTGTGAGCCACTGTGCTCGGCTGGGTGTTTTGCTTTCTTATCATTCATGTGTTCACTGAAGCAGCCCTTCTAATGTCCTTCAGTAACTTTTCCTTTGCATATCTTGGCTTTGGCCTGTCTTAGCTTTCAACATACCTTCCTTACTAAGCTTAGTTATTTCTAACTTTTGATTTAAAGTGAGAGATGTGTGACTGTTCCTGTCACTTGAACACTTAAAGGCCATTGTAGGGTTATTAACTGACCTAATTTCAATATTGTTATGTCTCCGGGAAAAGGAAGGCCTGAGGAGGAGGAGGGAGGTGGAGGAACAGATGGTGGAGTGGTCACAACACACGCAACATTGATTAAGTTTGCTGTCTTATGGGCATAGTTCATGGCACCCCAAAACAATTACACTAGTAACACTGAAGATCACCGATCACAGATCGCCATAACAGATATAATAGTGAAAAGTTTGAAACATTGTGAGAATTATCAAAATGTGACAGAGACATGAAGTGAGTACATGCTGCTGGAAAAATGGCGCAGATAGACTTTCTTGATGCAGGGTTACCACAAACCTGCGATTTGGAAAACACACAGCCTCTGTGAAGCGCAATAAAATCAACTGCAACAAAATGAGGTATGCCTGTATTAAACCTCTCAATCTTCACTACCAGCCTATGGCATAGGTCCTACCCTCTTTACTGACGAAAAATCTGGAGGAACGTTAGATTGCTCTAGGTTACAAATGAGTAAGTGGCAAAACCAGGATGAGGAATCCGCAAAGAGAAAAAAAAAATCCCTTTTTATTAATATGTTTGTGTAGATTTTCTCAATATAATTTGGACTTCCTTGAAACAAACCATCTGAATCCTCAACATGAATTGGTAAACTAACCTTATTCCTATCATCTTGTGTAAGTCTTTTATTCTAGTGAAATCTGCTGTCATCCACCGGTTGTTTTAGAGTTCTTGGTTGTATTATAGCTCTTGGTTGTTTTATAGCACCACAGTTAGGTTTTCACTGACAAAACTAAAGTAAACCAGCATTTTATACCAGATGATTTGGTGTTTAACCACTCCTCCCACTTCTGACTTCATGTACTCTTTGGGCACTGGACTTCCCATGCATCTCTGGATAGAGATTACAATGCCTTCCTTATAGGGGCTTGACTTATCCCCAGCTGTTCCTGACACTGGGTAACTGCGTTTATCTTTTGGAAGCAAAGGTGAGAGGTACCATTGTCCAAGGCCCTCCGACTCACCTGCAGACGTAGAAGGTAGTCCACAGTGCTGATGATGACATTTACGGTGGTGGTGTTGCCCATCTGAGTCCGCAGGAAGTTCTGAAAGTCTGAGAGCACCAGTGCTGGGTCAGAGCTTGTCCTCGTCACGCTGAAGGAGCCAGGCATGCCCTCTCAGCTGAGCTCAGACAAGACATTCTATGTGAAAAGTCTTCCAAGGATACCAGGCTTGGGTCCTGGCAGATCTTGCATATCAGAGCAGGTGCTCTGCTCTGAGCAACCCCCAACCCGCCAGCAGCAGAAACTGGACTCAATGAGCCAGATGGAAAAGGCTGGGCATCAAGATTTCTCATCTGAAGATTCTGGAAGCAGCTTAACTTTGGTGGTACTAAATATCACTAGCCATGATATTTACAGTTTCTTATTGAGGAATGCATTAACTAATGTCCTTGAGTTAACAACTGGTTGCATCAAATAGGGCATGCTGAACTGAGCTATAATTTTGCACCTGAATGCTGTGTTTCCTTGGCAGATCAATCAGTTCCACTCACCACTATTATGTCCCTCACAAAGTAACTGTAGGAATCTAAAGAGATCACGCGTGAACTCGTCATTCTGGAGTACTTTTTCACCTTGAAAACATAAAATGTTGATGAGCATGTTTGGCTTCTCAACAGAGAATACTTTCTAACGCAAATGACTACGCGGATGATAAAGGAGTTGTGTCAGAATGGTTTGAAAAAGGAGCTTTGAGGAATGGTGAAAAGCTGGATTAAACTGGCTGAGGCTGCAGAGCACAATGCCCAGCAAATGCATTTGTAATGAAGACAACTCGGATAAAGAGAGTAAGTGGTTCACGGTCCATAAACCATGCTTTACAGATGTAAGGCACTTCTTTAAGCACCAAACTGCTGAGTTCAACTCAACATGCAACCACCAAGCCCAAAATGTTTCTGTGCTGAGGCAATTAATAAGATCTAGGATTCACACACATGGTAGAAACTCAGGCCAGGAACTCAAACTTACCACGTTCACGAACAATGACTGGTAATGAGAGAAAAATAGAAGAATACAAAGTAAGAAAACTGTAAACATCATGATAAACTGTCTTTAGTGAAAACTGGCTAGGTGAACACATCCATCCTAGATGATAGCTTTACTAAAGCTACTGATGGAAATGTTTTCCTGAAACAGAGCACGTCCTTGCTTAGTAAGCAAAGACCTGAGCTCAGACCAGAAATAGGTAATTAAGATTTTAAATGGCTGGGTGTGGTGGCTCACACCTGTAATCCCGGCACCTTGGGAGGCCCAGGCGGGTGGGTCACCAGAGGTGAGGAGTTTGAGACCAGCCTGGCCAACATGATGAAACACCATCTCTACTAAAAATACAAAAAATTAGCCAGGTATGGCGGTGGGTGCCTATAATCCCAGCTACTGGGAGGCTGAGCAGGAGAATCACTGGAACCTGGGAGGTGGAGGTTCAGTGAGCCGAGATCATACCACTGCACTCCAGCCTGAGCAACAAGAACGAAACTCTATCAAAAACAAAAAAAAAAGATTTTAATCAGGAAGAGAGTGGCCTTCACATTCACTAGTCACTTACGTGTTCCTTCTTCAGTCACCATCCCCAGGCCTTCAGCTTTATTCTGCCTCTCAAATGCATTCAAATCAAGGACACTTGTAATAGACAGAAAGAAACAAGGTTCAGGGCTACACACACTGGGAAAGCAGACTTCTTAAGTTAATGTATCTACCGACTACAAATATCCTGCCCCTGTCTTATGATAAATAAACTAACACATTCCAGGGTGGTTGAAAGTCTAATGATTCCTTGGCTTTGTGCCAAGCGGTGCTGTCTTAGGTGCCTGTAGCTCACAGACTTTGTTACATACAGGGAGAGGGGTCACACACACTTATGGTGACTCTCATTGTCTGTCCAGTTTGATTCTTTTCTTATGAAGATTTAGAAAGGTTTTCCTAATAAAGAAGGAATAATCTGTTTTTAAGATTTCTTCAGGGAAAGTTTACTTCAACTGCACTGATTAATGTTCGCCTCCCATCTTTATCTACTTTCTCTGAGAATCACATAGAATTGTGGTTTCCAGAGCTTAGGATGAGATACAAACTTCCAGATTTCAAAGGGCCACAACTTTTTATGATTGTACATCATTCAAGAGCCTACGGAAGCTGAAGTTCAGCTTTCCATAGGCAATGGTGTCTCCGGGTGTTCTGGAACTTACAAGTTGACCTTTATTTTTGTCCCTATTCCCCCCAACCTTCCCAGTCACAGCCACTGCCAAATTTTACTTAGCCAGGAAGCCGTAGTGCAATCACAAAGCTTGGCAATGAGACCACTATATAATCATGTTATTTCTAAGTAGGGCACATTCCATTTTACTAACAGAGTCTACCTTATTCCCCCAATCTGAAAGGTTTCAAAGAACGTAACTCTTAGGAAAGCTTAAGGCTAAGTCCATTAAGACTCTGCAAAACCTAGCTTTGCCTCTACTACTGGGCAAAGACACGGAGAAAATCCGACATCCCTGTTTTCTTTTTACGGAGTCACATGTTTTGTGATTTAGGTAAACTTCATTTACCCAATTTCATCGCTCAGGTAAAAATGACAGGTAAACAGTGAAATCTCTATTGCCATTTTTGTTTGTTTTTTCCCAGATTCTGCTGGCAAAAGGGCCTGCTTATCAACACAAAACTATCCTTCTCCTTTGGTTTAGCCATCAGGGGAGAAAAACATGGGAAAGGACATTTGGACATAGCTGCTTTGAAGCAGCAGTTTTGAATCTGAATCTGTGCATCACACATTTCTGATCCTTACTCCATTCCTAAACACCCATTTTGAATGTTTTAATTTCCCTACTACTTAAATATTTTAAAATCATATATTGTATTTACTTGGGTTGGGTGTGATGGTTCACATCTGTAATGCCAGCACTTTGGGAGGTCGAGGGGGGTGGATCATGAGGTCAGAAGTTTGAGACCAGCCTGTGCAACATGATGAAACCCCATCTCTACTAAAATACAAAAAATTAGCAGGGCATGTGGCAGACACCTGTTATCCCAGCTACTTGGGAGGCTGAGGTGGGAGAGCGGCTTGAACCCAGGTGGCAGAGGTTGCAGTGAGCCGAGATTGTGCCACTGCACTCCAGCCTGGGTGACAGAACGGGACTCCATCTCAAAAAAAATAAAATAAAATTAAAAAAAAAATAAATAAATAAATAGAAGAAGAAATTGAGTTGCCTTGGTTTTTGCCATCTCTGGGTTCTTATGTACTATTTTAGCCTCAGAGAGTCAGGCCTGGAGATATTCCATTTTGTTTTCCTGAAAGGATAACAAATGAATAGACTGTTGGTGGGGAAAAAAACCACACAAAGCTGACAGCAAAGAATTATACTGCAGCTCAGATCTGCTCCCTACTGCCCAGGGTACAATGTTTTACCCAAGGAAATACAGTTAGCAAAATTATAGAGTCCACCGAAGAAATGATGCCCATCTTCCAAATTTTTAAATGGAAAACATAATTGGAGGCAAATGAGCTAGATAATTAAAAGTTTAATTTCTTTAGAATGATTTCCATACTATTCAAATACATATGAATCTTAGACAACAAGCTGACGCTTTTCTTAGATTCTGGCTCATCTCTGAATGGAGCAAGTGTCATGACCTACGACTCTTGATGATATATTATTTTTGTGTGAGAGCCGTTCAGCCATAAGGGGTGGTGTAAACAGCTTAATAATATGAATGCTAAGTTCAAAGCCTAGTTTTTTAGGCTATGTCAAAATGTTCCCATGCCAGGATGTACCTCTGTCAAAATGGATGTGTCAAAATTCATACCACCCCAACACACATTCAAACTCAAAGAATTGTTAAGAATAAAGATTAACAAAGTGGGTTTAATAAAACACAGCCTTGATTCACAGTCAGGAATCCCCCTTCTTTTCTACTATTTTCTGGTTTGACTTTCATGGGCATACATGTTTGAGGAGAAACTCAATGTGCGCGCTGAGCCTCCTGGGAAAACAACACGAAAATGGAGGTAAGGAAGGGACATTAAAAACAACAGCAGTGGGGGGGCGTGTGTATGTGGCTAATGGCAATCACATTTTCCCCTCTGAATGCTAGTTGAATTGTAATCCTGAAGGCTGGAGGAGCAACATCTACTCTCTTAGCTTTCTAAAGTAGGTGACTCCTCTCTCAAAACTTCTATGGTAGGACAGTATATTTTGTGCTCCCCTTCCCCTGCCTCCCTATCCTTAGAGGGAAGAGTTTATTAAATGCTATGGTAGTTTTCCCACATTTACCTGCAAGACTGCATAAGACCAGAAAGGCTTTGAAAGAATCCAGCATCCTTTTTCTCCTTTAGGTAATCTAGCATTTTCTGCAACGGAGATACAGCGTAAAGGGAAAAGCAATGAAAACGATGCCACAGAGCTGACCCTCCCGATCCTGACGGAGAAATCTCCAGCCACATTGGGCTGGACCCTCTACTTATGGAATCAGGATCCCTTGGGGTAGACCTTGTTTATTTTATAAAGGCCCCCTGGTATTTCTTCTAGGGCAGATTGACATTCATGGGTCTACTGACTGAAGTCCCTCCTATTTGGGAACAAGCACCAAGGCTGTAATAAAGTAGTGTTATCATGAAGCTGTGTTATAATCTGAGTAGCTCACACCATGAATTTGCCATATAGGAGCAAGGAGCTTAGCCAGTAAGGAGCCTTGCTGAAAGCGTAGTATTTCTTTCACAATGAGGCTTTGTTTCCTGTGTTCTCTCTTACTGGAAGGTAGGAACTTTATCTGACATAATAAAAATTTTGATTTTTAAACAAATAAACAAAAGGCCATGTAGGAAAGTCAACTAATACTAGAGGTAGGTGGTAGAAGGGCACAGAAATGAAGGATCACTTAGAAAATGAGTTTTTAATGAGAAATCTGAGAAATCTGTTTGGGATGAGTTAAAGACTGGGAAAAGTTATATGCAATAATGGTAGTTGTGAATCTGGAGACTCTCAAAGGCCCTGGGATATAACTCTCATGAATGCCAAGGGTCTATTTGAAATTTCACTTCCCTGTACACACAGATGTTTTTAACCAGAACCTGGAGTGCCTGAGAGACACCGGTGCATTCCTGCCTTCTGCAGCCTGTTCCAATTCAGATTGTTGAATGAGTACCATGTGTCAGGTACTTGGCTGTATGCTTCTAGGTGTTGCCTCCTTTAATGCTCACTAGGTTGTAGGCTGCAGGATGGCAGGAGTTTTTATTTGTATCATTCACTGCTATACCCTCAGTCCTTACAGCAGAGTCTCGCGTGGCCATCAGTCAGTAAACAACTGTTCAATGAATGAATGAATAACAGGTCTGTGAGTTTATCAGCTCCACTTAGCTGATGTAGCTCCTTGCTCAGAGTAAGACAGCTAATAAGTGAAAATAAAGGGCTAAAGCAAAAATCTAATAGTAAATTTTTCTAGAGAATATTTACACAGAAAGTTATCTACTGATGAGAAAACTATATGTTTTTATTTTTAATCCTGGGTAAAACTTCTTTATTAAAGACAAATTTGCCTGAAGACTCCTAGCCCTGGTTGTGTTCCCAGCTACTCTGATATGACTGGCCACTAAGGACAAACACCAGCTAAGTGATTCTGGGTGGCCCCCCTCTGTAGCAGTCAACTTCTCTTCCCTGAGCATGACAGGTGTCAAATGGGAATACCCCGGGAGCCTGCCCAGCCGCTGTGAGCTCCCATTACCTGTTGCACACCGGCATTGCCTCCATTCAGAATGGCGATCCCCAGCTTCAGAGTTTCAACGACCATTGGGCTCATCTCACCTGCCATGGCAAAGATTCGATTGAATCACTAAGGAAACAGGTGTTAAATCACGCCTACTGGGTCTTAGCAGGACTCTTTAATAACGGCTTTATGTCACAGCATGATATCTTTGTGGAAGTTACATAGGCCCATCCAGAAACTGGGGCAATAACCTTTGCTGGCACTTATCATCTGAAGGACCATCTCTGCGGCACCACGCTCGTGCAGCCGAGCTTGCTGATAGAGGGTTTTCTGCTTCTCCATCTCTTTCTCCTGGAAAAAAAAATCACAGGGAAAGATCAGTTCCCACCCGTCACCATGGAGTTCACTCACAGCGAGGCGAGAGAGAATTTTCCAGTTGCTTAAGGAAGGCAACACATATCAACTCGGATAAAGCAGACCTCTGAAGTTTGTTTCCAGATACTACCCAGCTTTCTAAACTGTCCACACATCACTCATATTTTGATGATATGTTTTCCATTTTTTGTACTGATAGAAAACACAGTACACTCCTTTTGGATACCATAATTGTGGGAAGCAACCCAACACTAAAATTTGTTCGTTTTCAATGTTCTGTTACACAGGGAAACCTGCTGAGGGGCCAACTTGAGTATTTCTGGCTGAATGCAGGAAATGCTCACTCATCTAGAATGCTCAGACCACAGCTAACACTTTTTTTGTTGTTGTTTTTGAGATGGAGTCTCACTCCATCTCTCAGACTGGAGTGTACAGGATGATCTCAGCTCACTGCAACCTCCGCCTGCTGGGTTCAAGCGATTCTCCTGCCTCAGCCTCCCAAGTAGCTGGGATTATAGGCATGTACCACCACACGCAGCTAATTTTTGTACTTTTAGTAGAGATGGGGTTTTGCCATGTTGGCCAGGCTGGTCTCAAACTCCTGACCTCAGGTGATCCACCCGCCTCGGCCTCCCTAAGTGCTGGGATTACAGGCGTGAGCCACCTCTCACTTTCTATCAGACATGGATTATGAGAATGTCAAAGCTTTCCAGACGGTAATTATAGTCATTTGCTTCTGCTGTGTTTCGTCATGTACTTTGTCCATAAAAGAATACAAATAACATAATATAGTTTAATCTTGAGAATTTCAGGGTCCTGTACTGCCTCAAAATAAACATCACTGTCAACTTGCACTTATAGAATAATAGTGCAAAAACCATTCAAGTGCCTCTGTTGCTCTGATTTTTTAATCTTTTTTTTGGTATTTTTTTTTTTGAGAGACCGGATGCTACTCTGTTGTCCAGCGTGGAGTGCAGTGGTGCAATCAGAACTCACTGCAGTCTCAAATACTTGGGCTCAAGCTATCCTCCTACTTGTCTCCTGAGCTGTTGCATCTATAGGAACACACTACCATGCCCAGGTAATTTTTTATGTTTTGTAGAGATGCAGTCTTCCTACGTTGCCCAGGCTGGTCTTGAACGTCTAAGCTCAAGTGGTCTTCCCTCCCCTGGGCTCCCAAAGTGCTGGGATTATAGGTGTGAGTCACCACACTGGAGCATATATTCATTTTTCGGATTTTTTCATTTTAGATGTTTTAATTTGTCCTTCTATGGCCTCTGTTACTACAGCAATTGAGTAAAATTTCCCACAAGAACACAGCCAGTGGTTTGCTGACTGGCATACTACCTGCTATCTTTTCACGGGCAGAGAGACAACAGAACCACGGCTAATGCGTGTGCTTTATTAAGGCAGATGTGCCAACTCGCACACTCGTGGTGGGTGAGCCACATATGCTAACGTCAGCACCCACCTCTGAAGGCCTGGCCTATCGGCCTCGGAGGGTGGGTGGCTCTGCTTTTAATCTTCATGAGAACTTACTTCAAATGTTTTTTCCTTGTCTTCATCATCTTCTTCATCCTCACCGCTTTGACAACTCTGGATTTCATGGAGCAGGTAAGGGAGAAGACAGACAGCCAAATTAAAGGTGAATCTAATAAACACAACTCTGCTCTGCAAGGGCAGGGCACAGGACGTAATTCACAGGCACTCCAGGACCTCAGCTCGGTGTACAACCAGGAATACTTTGGCCCCTGCAGGGTAACATTTCTACTGTAAATGCCATCTTCACAGTTTCCATAGAATTCAGAAACGAGAAATGAGAACGCAGAGCTCACATCATCTAAGGGGACCTGGCTGGTTTAACCACAGACTTGAACTCTTCTTACTAAAGTTCTGGTGTAAATGGGAGACAGGAATGCAGGGAGCTGCCACTTCCTAGATACAGCCTCAAGGGCATGGCAGTAAGATTGGAGATAGCTCCTAGGCTATGATTCCTAAAGTGGCTCTTCCCACTGGGGGCCTGTGGTACAGCTGGATAAAGGGATATATGCTCCTATGCTCCAACGCATCCTTTCTGCCTGACATGAAAGTTTCCCTTTTTCACTCAGCATTCTAGAGGTCACCATCTTTCTGGGTGACACTGAACATCTCTGGTCACACTGCCTCTTTCAGGACACCGGGAGCTCTCTCTAGTTTCTAACCTTCACCTGCGAGAACTGTTTGATGTATTCTGAACATTGACTGAAAACACAAGGGCAGTCTGTGTGCCCGAGCCCCATTTAGCTGGCTTCAGAAATGTCAATGTGAACCTCTCCACCAGCACCCACTATTTCTGCAAAGCTTCAAGGTTTCCTTAGGAACACAGTGAAGTAGCTTACTAACATCATCCCTATGGCACATGAATTGTGCAATGCCTGAAACCTGTGTCATGACAAAGTCCCAGGCCTGCTATTCAACATGACAATTTTCATGCAGCTGAAGAGGTCTAAGGGAAGACAAAAGACAGAAACAATGGGTAGAAAACCTGGGTGTACCTTGGCCATCATGCTGGAATAGGAGGTGTACAAAGGGTCGTCTTCCAATTTGCTGGAAAAAATGGAGGACATAATTAGTAGGCTACTATTTTGTGTGTGTCTGTGTGTGTGTGACAGAGTTTCACTCTTGTTGCCCAGGCTAGAGTGCAATGGTGTGAGCTCAGCTCACTGCAACCTCTGCCTCCTGGGTTCAAGTGATTCTCCTGCCTCGGCCTCCCCAGTAGCTGGGATTACAGGTGTCTGCCACCATGCCCGGATCATTTTTTTGTATTTTTAGTAGAGATGGGGTTCCACCATATTGGGCAGGCTGGTCTTGAACTCCTGACTTCAGATGACCTGCCTGCATCAGTCTTCCAAAGTGCTGGGATTACAGGCATGAGCTACAATGCCTGGCCTTAGCAGGCTACTTTTTGGACCCCACATGAACGACTAAGTGTCATATAAATCTCAAATTTTAAGTACTAGTGCATTAATTCAGAAAATCCCCTCCCCCATTCCAATTCTTAGAAACCACTCTGAAAATATGAAGCAGCATTGGCTTAACATGGAATTCAGAGATGAAGGTTATAGTTTTAGGCTGTTTAATCTTCAGCTCAGTGTCTGACACAGAGCAGGCTGTGGCTTGATGCAGTTTCCCTAGACATATCTTGATGGCCAAAAATAAGGCAGCAAGGAGGGCTGCTCAAATCTGGCTTCCCCTTTTCCACTCACTGCCTTCTGAGTGAGGAAGTTTAGGAGTGGACACCAGTATCCTTGGTGCCTGGGAGAAGCAGGTGTTCTGGTGGTTCTGACCTCCTCTCCGTGAGAGCGTTGCGGCTAAAATAGAGAATGATCTGATGTAGTGGGTCAGGTTGTTTTTCTGTCTCTTCCTCCTCCTCCTCTTCCACCTTTGGAGATTTCTACACAAACCAACACAGACAGGTTTTAGGCATGAATTTAATCTCGTGCCACGCGACTGCATGCGAACAAAGAGAACGTGAAGCGCAGGCATAGAGTGCATCAGACTAAAGCACAGAATGAAACCACTATGTCATAGATTTATTTCAGGATAGAAACCCTAAAGGTGCAAGGTTTGAGATATATGTGTATATATGTATAGATATGTGTTTTTATTTCTACAGCCAATCAAAGAAACATTCCAATTTTAGGTTAAAACAAAATAAAAAGCAAAAGGCTGCCCATAAAGGGAATAGCTGCATACCCCAATCAGCAGACCTTTCATGCAAGCTCTGGGCACCCAAGTCCAGGAGGGAAACCCCACAGTCACTGAGAGACTGGCTCTCTCAGGCCAACAGCTGACATTTCTTTTGCAAAGCTGGGCTCGACATGTGGGTGGGGCAAGAGTTACAAAGCATCGGGACCATTTTGGGTCTAACGCTATTCTAGATTCAACCCAGCAAAACATTTCTCTTTCCTAACCAAACTCTTCATTCTAAAATTCTTGTTGCTCCTGAGAGCTGCCATCCTGAAGCTGCAAGCCTCGCCCTTCTCCTTTGATCAGGTCTTTTCTTTATCACCTTTCACAGAAAGAGAAACAGCAGCTAATATCAGAGGTAAAAGTGAATTTTCTAGCAGTGACAGAGGCAGCAGGGTGGACTGTATTTGGTAAATTGATGAGAACTACATGGGTTGTATGAATGGTTCAGAAGAAGTAGAGGGCTGAAATGACGGTCATTGTCAACTTCACACTCATCTAAAAACTGAGAAAACCAACCAAGTGTCTTTCTCACCAACAGGAAAATATGAGAACAATGAAACACATAAAGATAAGGGGAAGGAAGACAGGAAAAGGCTTTAAAAAAGAAGGAAAGAAACACAGGGTGACAGGGAAAGATACAAAGACATTTGGAAAAGAGTGACTATCAGAAACACAGGACAAGATGAACAGAGAGAGTGAGTGGTAAGAGAAAAAGGTTCGTGAGAGAAGGAGAAAAAGAACCACAGGTTGGCCAAAGAAGAGGAGGGTTTATTTTCTCTCTGAACCAGAATGAGGCTCTGTGGCACCTCTGCAATAAGCTTTTTCCCCTCGTGTGTCATTTTAAGTGGCTTTGGAGCATGAAGTCTGTTAGAGACAAGGCATGCCAAATTTTCTGAAATGCCAAATATAGAAATGCAAGATGCAGAAAGGATATTTGGATCCATCTTCCCCAAAGCAGAACCACCGAGTGAGAATGTGGGGCTTTGGCTCGGGTGCCTCCTGCAACCAACGGTGCTCAAAACTTCACTTAGCATGAACCCCCCATAACATGGCTGTGCATTTCAAGAAGTATTAGTTGTTAATAGCGACGATGATGAGCGCCTCCAAGTGAAAATTCATCCTCTGGCTCTTAGGACCATTAGCAGAGCCTCCCCTGAGCATTTACACAGTCAGTTGCTTTCAAATTTATACACACGATTCCTTGTGAATGTTTAGCTGTTACAACCACACACATGAATTCAAAAATCAAATTCATCCACACCCATATCTGCTCCCAGGGGAGTCAGTACTTACAGCCAAATCCTGTACTAGTTTCTCTTCAAAGGAATACTCCTCTGTTTCTATCCAAAATCTCTGATAGCCATGGAGGAAGAGGTTAATAGAGCGGTGCCTGAGCAGAAGGGGTGAGAGGGAGGTCAAGAGGGAACTTGTTCTTTTAGTTTGGGCAGTTAATGGTTAGTAAGAAGGATAGACTTTTGTACAATTTTTATCTTCTGATTGGTCAGGGTCGCCAGTAGCACACCATAGAATTCACTTCAAAGAAACCAGAACCCTCTAACGTGGTGGGTCTTGAATATTAGAGCACCTTCTGAAAATGACAAGGGTTAGCAAAAGACATGGCAGTTATCTCTAATCCTAATCTGTTCTCACAGAGACTTTATCACATTTCCTCTCCGTGGAGAAATTAGGGCAAGTAACAGAGCTGAAGTATTTGCTTCATATGGCAATTTTGTCGTTCCTTTAGGCTGATCACCTTTCTAGGTAATCCAATCTAAGTCATGCCGATCATCAGTGGTTTGGTCTTAGAGATGCCAAAAATACCACAGGGTGGCTTCTTTTCATTCTCCAAGTAACCAGGCTGGCAAGGCGTTCCAGCTTTTACTTAGCAAAGCGAGGTTTAAGCATGGTATGCCACTAGCGTATTTTCTGCGTGCCTCATGGATCCTAGCTATGTCCCCAGCGTGTGGGGGCACTGAATAACTAGCATGGGCCACTCCCGATAAGCCAGGATTGACTTCTGGGAATATCAGCCACTGCAAAGCAGCCAAGTGTTTACAGAATGTGAGGACACTGGTAAGGGGGGAAGGGGAGAGGAGGAAGATAAAAGTCTACACCAGAGTCATTAAGCCCTGGTCATGGTTTCTGGAAGAACACTGCCCTTGCCATCTTTCTTCAAATCTGACCAATCAGAATTCTTCTTAAAAATTGTACAAATTTGTGTTTTTATGGTAACGTTAAATCATGGTCAATAAAGGAGGAGTGTGCAGAGAATGAGCAGGTCTCTCCATAGGTTACATTACCATTAAAATGGGTATAAGCCTGTCATACTGAGTTTTTTCATTAACTTTTTCCAGCCAAACTTGTTGAAAGGTGCTCAGGAAGAAATTACTAATTTTGTGTCTGGAGAGAAGCATACAGGTTTTCTTTTAAAAACTAGCATCAGAGAAAGTTTCCACATAACAAAATACGTCCCTTAAACCCTTTAGTTTGGGAGATTCTATGAGTTAGATCATCACAGGGTGGAGAAGAGGAGTTGTCTCCAGCATTAGCTTCACTGTTGTTATGAAATCTACTTCCAGTCCTCCGTGCTAAAGAGATCACCCACAGCAGCTCCTCTAAAACAACTGGGTTAGGGACAGTCATGCTTCATGAAGGACAAAGTGAATTCCTGGACTTGCTCTTACTCATACAGAGTAGAACTACTAAAGGCACAGCCCAGATATGTAAGGATGGTGTAATATCTTCAGTAGATTTAGAAAAAAAAATGATTTTATTTATGTATTTATTCTTCTGGTGAGACAGAGTTTTGCTCTTGTTGACCAGGCTGGAGTGCAATGGCACAATCTCAGCTCACCACAACCTTTGCCTCCTGGGTTCAGGCGATTCTCCTGCCTCAGCCTCCCGAGTAGCTGGAATTACAGGCATGTACCACCACACCTGGCTAATTTTGTATTTTTAGTACAGACGGGTTTTCTCCATGTTGATCAGGCTGGTCTCCAACTCCTGACCTCAGGTGATCCGTCTTCCTCAGCCTCCCCAAATGCTGGGATTATAGGAGTGAGCCACTGCGCCTAGCAAAATGCTTGTTTTTGAGAGATGTAATTTCTGCTTAGCTGTCCTGGCCCTAGAGATATGTACTTAGAGCTGGACTCTTTCAGAGGCCAACTTAGCACAGTGTCAGATAGGAATCTCAACCAGATAAGGAAGGAAACACATTGATGTTTCGACACTTCCAGAAAAGAAACACAAATTCTATGCACTTTTGCTTTTTCTACTGGGTTATGAGTTTCACTTTTCTGTCAGGACTTCAGCAGCCTGAATGCCCGATTGCTTGACCTTGTTTTTCATCTTTCTATTCATGAATTCTACCTGATTTCATAGGAAGTGGCTCATTATCTTCCAAAGACAGTAATCTGTTTCTTGACAGAGATCTGTTGGAACAGGTATGTGTCTCAGAGACTGTGAATTTTTTTTCTTTTTTTTTTTCTTTTGAGATGGAGTCTTGCTCTGTCACCCAGGATGGAGTGCAATGGCATGATCTCAGCTCAATGCAACCTCCGTCTCCTTGGGTTCAAGTGATTCTCCTGCCTCAGCCTCCCAAATAGCTGGGACTATAGGCATCTATCACCATGCCTGGTATTTGTTTGTTTGTTTTTTGTATTTTTAGTAGAGACAGGGTTTCACCATGTTGGTCAGGGTGGCCTCGAACTCCTGACCTCAAGTGATCCGCTCACCCTGGCCTCCCAAAGTGCATGGGGTACTGTGCCTGGCTGAGACCATGATTCTTAAACATCTTCAAAGACCCTAACGAAGAAAGCCAAGGTGGCCAGTTGGCTCAGGAGGAGGTTATAGGCTACTGTTGACAAATGATCGCCAAGTTCCACAATTTAATGAAAATAAAATGTCAAGCATAGGAATAGTCCTTCATCTGATATTTCAGATAACATATATATTTCCATAAGCTTCAGAATATACTTGTCTAAGTCAGTCTCTTTTCCCTGATCAAGTGAGAACATTCCTACGGATCTGATAGTCAATGAAGCAGAGGCTGATATTCAATTACTAGCTTTGTTTACTGACCCAAGGCCCGACCTTACCTACTCTGTGATGAGTCTGAGGACAGGAATGTCACCACATCATCAAAGACACTGAATGAGTCTGGGTGGGCAACTCTGGGCCAGTGTGTCAGATACTATTCCCTATATTGACAAGCATGTGTCACAAACTTTTCAGAAAAAGCTTCAAATATTTTTTACTTCACAGTATAAGCTGAAACACCTGAAGACATTGTGCCTCTGGCAAGCCTCTTGAGGCATCTCCAGCCTTTTTATATTTTGACAGTTAGTACACTGTGCTAAAAGATTCTCAAGTTACATTTCTGTACCTGCTGAGGAAATGGTAATTTCAGTGTCAAGTACCTGAGCAGAGAAATACTGTTTGACCCGTTGATAGAAGTTGGGGTAAAATGTTTCAGAAAAACAGTTTCTCCTTTCCAGAAGACTTTACATGCTAACAAAGAATCCCACCTCAGCAAAAGTAACGTACTTCCATACGCTTACTTGGCTGACTTCAGGGTACAAATGGTGAGCTGGCAGGAATGGGATCTAGAGAATCTCATCTGGGTTCAGTTTTCATGCTTACCTTGATTGTCTTAGCCAGGCCCTTACATTATGCAGACCACCATAGCTCCATAGGCCAAGGATTCCAATTTCTATTCCTTGGATTGAGAGCAAGAGAGCACAGCTGTGGGAGGACACCTCCATTCCCATCACTGCCTTACATGCCAGGAAAAAAGACAAAATACTTGCCTGGGCAGGTTGTAGAGAGGGGCCATTCTGAAACAGGCCACCACTGCCCGTTTGCGTTGCTTTGATAATAGTTTGTGCCAGACGGCCTTCTTGGACCTCAAAGGCTGTTCTACCTGAGAAGAAATCACACAGGTTGGTACACATTAGACTGATCTTTTGGGGGCAGAAGCTAGTCACCTGTAGCCCAGACTTCTTAATCCTGGAAGAATTTTGGCTTCTCAACTGTAGTTAGCACAATGCACCCAGCAGCAGATGATTTCAGTTATGAAGGTCTTAGGTTTTCCTCTTTCTCCCAATTGCTTTTAGTCATTTATTGTCTAATAGCAGCTTATTAAATGGTAGGGGACTTAAATGGGGCATTTCAGTGAATGGCAAGAATGCACAAAACACTGGAGGGGAAATTAGAGAGATCTGCTATCACAGGGCATCGAGAAGGCACATGGAGGTGATCTGGGACGATCCTTGCTCCTTGTTTTCTCAGTCTTATGATGGCACTTGTACCTGACAGCTGAGTGTGAAGAGGAGCTTGGTATTGTTCGGGGTGTTTCTACTTCCCCATTCCTCCGGGCAGATGCTCCTTACCTGTTCCAGGTGGAAGACAGCGGCTGAAATTCTCTGCACACGCTCCACTGTCTTTTCTGGATTGAAAGGCTCTTCACTCTTCAAAACATCCTTGTAGAGGTTCAGCTGCCATTTTACAGCTGGGTCATCAGACTGAAAATAGAAGCATACTCATAAGATGAGAAATTTCCTGTACCTGTTATACCGAAGGAGCCTTTCGGTCCTACCATGGTTCCATAGGAGTCAAGACGCTCTTCTATTATTGTTTCACTTTCATTTTCTCAATTATCTTCTGGAACGCTGTAGATGCTCTATAGGAACTTCTCATTCTAACCTCTACGTCTCTTAACGCTTCTGTCATATTTTCAATCTCGTCATCTCTCTGTGTTGCATTTTGGATGATGTCCTTAAAGCACTCCTCTAATTTATAACTTCTTGTTTCAGCTATTTCTAGCCTATTTTTAACCCATTTACTAGGTTTTTAATTTCAATGACTATTTTTTATTTTTATAATGACTATGAAGTCTTTTTTCAAACCCATCTCCCCTTCTCCTTTTAAAGAATATAACATCCAATTATTATTTTACAGGTTCTATTACTTCCTTTATATCTCTTTAAATGTTTTAATCATATTTACATTTACACCTCTTTCAATAGCTCCTTATGCTTGAATTATTCTCTTTGTTTCATATGATGACTAACAGATTTCCTGATGTGCTTTCTAATAAAAAAAAATGAGCTTGTCTTCAGGAGGAATTTTACTTATAGGTATCTCAGTTTATATTTTAGGAGGTGGAGACTCTCCAAGTGGTTTAACGGGTTTCTCTGTGGAATGGTTGTGGGTTTTATTGGTTCAAGGCTAACTTTATGGAAGTTTCTTGCTCTGTATTTATGCACAGTGTGGGTAATTAGGTCCCTATTCCTCTTCGTTTATGATTATTAAAAAACCAAATCCTTAAGATTTTTTTCTGACCCTTGAGATTTCTTTTTATTGCCTTTTTTTTCTAGTATATTTTATTCACCATTCCTCTATGTTTGGGATGGAAAGGAAAGACTTTTTGTGTTGGCTTAGTTTTCCATCCCAGGGCATAATGTACCTGAGGAAAGAGTTGTTCAGATTCACAGGCTTTAAAACATCTCAAATGGCCTTTAAAATCAAAGTTGTATTTTTTTTATTGTGCCAACTAGACACAAAATTATTTTGTTTCAAAATCTCTTTAGAGCAGGAGGTGCTAAAACTTCTCCCAGGTGTGCATTGCATGGTTTAACAAGATTTGCAGTTAGTAAATTCTGAGACCTAATCTACACTCTCCCTGCTATGGCTTGACATGCACATAATGGGAAATTGGAATAGATGCGTTATTGGAGTCCTCTTTGTATTCTCTTTGCAATAGCAAAGAACACAAATTAAGGGCAAAATAAAATAAAATAAGGGCAGTTTACGTATCAGTAATTAAAAAAAAATAAAGGAGACAGCTAGTCCTACCAATTAAACACAAACAACCCAAAACTCTTTCTGGAACACATATAAGAAACATGAGTAAATTAATCGAAAAGATGGAACCCTGCAGGCAGAAGGGAAGCCTGTGTGAGTTCTCACTGCCTTCGAGTCATCACCTTTTCCTGCAAGTGCAAGTTGTTCCGCAGATGTTCTTTGACCTCTTCATCTGTGTCCCTCTGTGGAAAGAGATGTCAAATTTTATTCCTGGAGATCACCATGGAACTGTCAAGTAGCATATGGGGATAATATGGAGAGTCAATGCACACTTTTGCTGGGATCTTTATTAGAAGAACAAAAGAAAAAATATTACAGAGATTTGTCCGGAAGGGACACACTGACTTCCAAGCCCATTTTAAAGATGAGGGCATGTTGCCTCCATACACGCTGGTTTCTGCTCATTTGCCCCCTGCTCCCCAGGGGAAGAGGACAAACCATTTTGGGGGCTGAACGCCTAACACTACACCACCTAGGTCACACACTCAGCCCAGTCAGATAGGCAGCTTACATGGCTGTATCGTGATTTTGCAAGGGAGATCAGCTCCTGGTCTCCTGGAGTGCACATATTCAAACCAATGGGCAGCATTTTCTTGAGTGCAGCCACGATGAGGGAGGTCTGGATGGAATACAAGTCTCCCCGCCGCTTTGTCTTCTTCCGCTCCTGGTCCTGTCCTCCAGACTAGGAGATGATGTTGGAATAAACAGAGAGGGGCTCGGTGATTGTCCAAAAGAAATGGCCTCATGTCAGAGGCTGCCTGCCTCCTTGTGGCCCTGTCAATATAGACCAGGCCTTACTACACCTTAAAGGACAGCGAAAACAGTGTGTTAAACAAGAACGAATTAGATATCCATAAAAGACTAGCCTTAACCCTGAGCCTTCTCCTTCTGCGCATGCACACACAACCACATAACTAAACACACATCACAGACGCCTATGGTCTTTGCTTACCCACTTCTGGACTGAACAAGTAAACTGGTGTTCTACAAAAACAATGATTTGGTAACTGACAAAAATGACCCCAGAAATGTTCTGAGAATTCTGATGCTGGGAAATCACTAAAAATGTGAAAGAGCATCCACCATAGAATAATTGCCCTGTGTTTCCAAAGCTGAAGCTGGTGTTTTGGAGAACCTCACTTAGACTCCCCACCATGGGCAATGCATATTCTTGCAGGAAAAGGAAAATCTAAAGTAGGGCTGCTTTGGAATCCAGCTGAAGGAAAGTTAGGAGAAAAACCTGAAGACATGAAAGAAAGGAACTCCTCAGTTCATGGAAGCTTGCACCCATCTTTGGCTTTTGACTTCTCATCCTTTTCAGAGAGAGCTCACTCAGTGAAGTTGTATTAAGAGAGGAATCCAGGTCAGGTGCAGTGGCTCACACCTGTAATCCCAGCACTTTGGGAGGCTGAGGCGGGTGGATCGCCTGAGGTCAGGAGTTTGAGAGCAGCCTGGCCAACGTGGCAAAACCCCATCTCTAATAAAAATATAAAAGTTAGCCAGGCGTGGTGGCACATGCCTGTAATCCCAGTTAACTGGGAGGCTGAGGTAGGAGAATCACTGGAACCTGGGAGACGGACCTGGAGTGAGCTGAGATCATGCCATTGCACTCCAGCCTGGGCAATAGAGCAAGACTCCGTCTAAAGAAAAAAAAAAAAAAAAAAGAGAGAGAGAGGAATCCAATGCACTGGGCTATGATACAACAGCAGCCCCAGGCAACCCACTAAGAATGCTCAGCATCCACAGCACAGGGAGATCACATGGTGGGTCCAGATGGGCTTGAGGAAACAAGGCACTGTGGTGACTCAATTTTCATGATTCCAGGTTCCAGAGAAGCAGAACTGCTCAAGTGGTACGTGCTTGCATGACTTGGCCTCAGTGGGCACTTGCTAGAAGTGGGGAGGGCTGGGTAGCAAGAAGCATGTCAGGGACCCTGGGAAAGAAGGAAGTGGTGCTCACCAATGCTTTGCGCTATGAGGTACCACGGAATGTTTGCAGCAATGAGGGGCAGCACTGTGATTTACTGTGACATACAGACACGGGGCTCTGGGAGCACGCAGACGCCTCCCCTGGAACTGGCACACAAGACCGGGTCCTCCTGGCCTGGGGCAGAATTCATTTTATGGGAAAAGGCTTTTGAAACAGAAGAGTATGGTCGGAATTCACACTGTCTTGGGACTAATCTCTTTAAATTGCCTTCCAAAGGGCAAAAGAGTTTCATAATTATTAATGGACACCTTTAAGAACAGTGAAATTTCTTTCAGCACTTGTGGCGGCTGCACTTTCAGGCAGCCGTATCACAGTATCACAGAAACCACAGTGAATTCCCTGGCCAACAGAATCCCAGTCTGGCCAAACATTGCCAGAAAATTCTACTGGTTGCAGGGGTACCTGGTATCCAGGCTCCAAAACACCAGTCAGCCCCTGGACAGCAGTGGGAGGGGCAGTAAGAAATATGAATAGAGAGAAAGAAATGCGGCTAAGAAGAGGAGGATCCTGGTGTTCCAGAAAACAGCACGAAGGGAAAGCTGCTTCACACAGGCGGTGCAAGCGCCGACTCCCACTGGCTGAGTGGTTGCTGGACTCCTCACCATTCTACCACCAAGTTTAAAATTCTAAAGGTTGCGACTCAGGGCAAAACTCATTTATGGTCTAAATTACCCTTGAAAATGTTTCAAATCATCCATAAAACATAGAACCTGGTTATATGTATATAAACTATATGATATCACATATGTATACATGTAAAATGTAAATGCTAATACACAGTATGCAATCGAATAAATATGCTTAAAAGTGTAACTATGTGGATTCGAGTACAAAACCTAAATTATTTCCTGCTCACTCTCTATTTGATGGGCCAATTTAATGTTGTTCTAAACATAAAAGCTGCATATGCAATATGACTCCAAAGTGCCTGCTACTTACATAAAACATTTACGATTCTCCCCAACACCCTGAAATATTAACAAGTCAGTTTTGTAAATGAGAACAGGATTGCTCAGGGAACTGAAGCAATTTTTCTAAGAGCACATAGCAAGGAAGTCTCTGAGCTATCCAGATGCAAGTCTATCTCGCCTGGGCTCCATCTTCCTTTCCTAACTAAGAGCTGCGTGTGCCCTGGTTCCTGTGCATCTCCCTTTCTTCACTGTATGGTGTAGAGAGGAGGGTTTAGGAGAATGGCAGCTGACACACATTAATTAAGAGGAAGAGAAAATGTTCAGTGATAACCTGAAACTGTACCTGGGAGATTCTCCCACTGTAGTCTTTGGAAGACTCGCTTTGAATCATGGGAGCCTTACACAGGAGGCAGGACGTCTACAGTGGGAAAGGGCTGAGACCACTAGTAAAAAATGAGACTCTGACCCTGGGTAGCACCACGAGGAGCAAGTCTCCTGGGTTCTCAAGCCCTGTCACTCATCCCTATCTCTGTTAGTGTGGTGGCTGCCGACAGGGCAGCTGCAGAAGGGAGCAGAGATAGCAAGGAGACCTCGGTTAGGGTGAGGCTTGGCTGGCTTCCCCGGCTTCCCCATTCCAAGGGTGGGTAGGCCTATATTCACTCTTTGACAGGCAGTTGTCTTCCCTGGAGCAGGCCTGGGGGACCTCCAGGCAGGAAAATCCATTCTGTACCACCCCCATGGTGATCACAGTGCAGACGGGCCCAGAGCCTGGTACCTCTAACACTAGGACAGAAAAGACACGTCATGCATTTGACCTGTACCTTTACTTGCATGGCCTGTGTGGAAAGACAAAAGAAAAGAAACAAGGAGAAGAGTCAGTTAGTAAAAGCAGAGCTCCAAGGCATAATGTATCGTATGTTAGTTAAAGCTTCTTAGCCCCCGTTTCTCAGCCAACACAACAGAAACTCAATGGTTCTGGAAGCCAGTAGAGCATGGCATGAAGAGTGAGTGGGAAGTTAGGATGGAGGTTAATTTGGTCAAAGGACTTAAATCCAGACCAAGCAATCTACTTCTCGGGTAAAGCCAACCCAGAAGCAGCCTTCCAGAGTGTGTGGCACTTGGACCTGAACCAGGCTGGTCTTCAGATCTGGCCACCCACAAGAACTCTCTAGATCTAAAGTCTTTGCCCCTTCCACCTCCCTCCTTTCACCTGGGTGGACTGTACACAATCTGTCATGTAACCAAAGAACCCAGTATTCTTTCTTCCTTCTACCCACCACATTATCAACTCCAGCACATCTGTGGCTACACACAGAAAGGGAGAATTGAGCTAACAGACAATGCTTCTGCGCATGTTAAAAGAAGGTAGTACAGGCCAGTCAAAGGGGCTCATGCCTATAATCCCAGCATTTTGGGAGGCTGAGGTTGGATGATCACTTGAAGCTAGGAGTTCAAGACCAGCCTGGGCAACATAACCACTGTCTTTACAAAAAAAAAAAAAAAAAAATCAGCAGAGTGTGGTGGAGTGTGCTATATAGTCCCAGCTACTGGGGAGGCTGAGGCAGGAGGATCACTTGAGCTCAAGAGTTTGAGGCTGCAGTGATCTATGATCACTATACTCCAGCCTGGGCAGCATAGGGAGACCCTGTCTTAAAAAAGAAAAAAGAAAGGAAAAAAGAAAAAGAAAAAAGATTTATTAACAAAAAGTACTCTAGGAATATCCAAAGTGATTCAGGATCACTAAACAACCCAAAAGATGGAGCATTTCCCTTCTTGTGCTACAACCTTTAAACATACCCTAGGTCGAGGTTACAGATTCTAATTTTATTTGTTCTGTCACATATTGCTAAGATTGGTTAACTCACTACAATTTTCTAATGAAATGCTTTTTAAAAATTGGTGGCAGAAACATTTATTTTCTTTCATTGTCTTCCTTTTTTTTCTCTCTCTTAAGAGACAGGGTTTCCCTATGTTCTCCAAGCTCATATGGAACTCTTGGCTTCAAGTGATCCTCCCTCCTCAGCTTCCTAAAGTGCTGGGGATTACAGGCATGAGCCACCATACTGGCCCATGTTTTATTTTCTTGTTAGAAATTTACAGCTTCCTATACTTTCAAAATCATTTCATCTCCCCATGCTGACATCACAGACTGTCACCAGTAGTTAGTTGATAATCAGACAGTTGATTTTGTGTGTAGCACTTAAAAGACAGACACAGAGTTTTGCAGGGTAAGTGACTTTAAGGACACACCACAAAGGGATGACATAGGGAGAGCTGGCATCAGGCTACTGAACAAAGACAAGCCTGGGCCACGGGAAGCTCTTCTCCCACTGAGAGGTAACTGAAGCAATGATGAGTCAATACAACCAAAGGAGACTTTCTGAAAGTCAGAGAATGAGAGGCAAGAGATAGAGTGAGAGGAGGACAGTGAGGGAAGGAAAAAAATGGTGGTGAGAGGGTGAGGTGGAGAGAAGGGAGGGGAAGAGGCAAGTGGGGAAAAAGGAGGAAGGGTGACAGGGGAGAGGAAGGGGAAAGGAAGGGGAGAGGAAGAGGATAAGTGCACGTGTCCGTGTGCACATTCATGAGAGAGAGCGCACGCACACATGCCGGTGAGTACACAGCAGAAGCGCAAGAACAAAGAGAATGAAAATAAGAGAAAAATGGGGTGGGTGAGGGAATGAAAGAGGGAATTTGAACAAGAAAACTCACACATATAAGTGTGAATGCCCTTGAAAAACTCAAAGATAGCTTCTAAAATATTTCCTGTCCCCTTTCGATCTGCTGAAATCACACTTCATGGGGTGGAGTGGCTTTGATCCATGAGGCACTCTAATATTTCCTGCATCACAACATTTTTTATCTTACTGTTTATAACCTTGGCCAAGGAACTGGCATTTCTTGGGCTGACCGCGTTCTAACTTACCATTCCCTTTGAAGAAGCTGCTGTCATTTTTCCAGAAACGAAAAAAGTTTCAAAACAAAATGACACAAAAAACACTTGCTCAGCTTAGTTACATTGAGCTTAACATACATTTGCAAACTGGTGTTATATACACGAAATATACAATGAGCTCTCACAAGCAAAATCTGCTTTGACTGCCAGGAAAATAATGTATCTTGGAACTGACCTTCAATTAGTCAAGTAGTAACAGCGTGGCTCACTGTACATTTTCTCCACTTCCTTTCCATTTGCAATGGCATATGTGGTGTATGTGGCACGCAGCAATCACATACCCATACCTCTGCAAATCCTGCCATATGCACTGAGGCTGACTTCATTTTTACACCACCAGAATTCAATTAATAGTATAGATAAAAGCAAGTACAGGTCTCTGTTCAGATTGGGTAACAGAGAGAGCATCTCAGTGCAGGGAGGCAAAGGCAATAGTCAGCCAACCAAAAATGAAGAATCTCCCAATCCCTAACCCCTGCATATATAGTTCCACAGCCAAAAAATACCAGAAATGGCTATGAGTTACTGCTTTTCAGAGGCATGGTATCTCTTTTTCTGAAATAATGCACTACATTTATCAAACATTATTCTATCCTAGAGATATTGTTGAAACTGACTTTAAACCAGAACATCTTAGTACATTGGGAAAAGTCAGGCAGTGAGCTCAGCCTCATTCTGCAAACTGCTAAATTGGGACCCAGAGGAGCTGTAAGGTTTAGCTCTAGCCGACAGCTGGGCCAGGGGAAAGACTTATCTTCCTTTCACGTTCTGGTCTATTTATTACTACACTGTGTCTCAAAGCAGGCAATGGCAACAGGATGAATACTTGTGACCCCGAGGACAATGGCAAATATCATTCAGCATTTAGGGAGTGTCCTCTCATCCATTTGTTACTTTGTAATTTTGACCCTATCCCATGTGGCTTAGAAATAATTGGCAAATGACAACAATGGAAACGAAACAAGGCTTTGCTTCTACAGACTAACCAGACCAGCACCGAAGAGGCCCAAATTCTGAACATGACCATCCTTTGTCAAGAAACAAACACTCCCTTTTCCTCATTTTGTGATGTGAATGAACAAAATGTCCTGTTAGTTTGTCAGTAGGTGGCTTTTGAAATGCCATTTTCTGTAACCTTATCTCTTTCCAAATGTAAACCCAAGGACCTTTAGCATGCATTCATTACCAGAGGATTGAGATGTCTTTGCTATTTCTGCTCATCCAGGATCCAGATCCTGATATCAGAGTCATTTTCATTGCTTTGTGACCATTCCCTGACAATCCCAATGGATGCTCGCTGGTTCAGTCCTGAGCCATTGAATCTACCTCAATTTGACGATAGGGCCAGGTAGGGTGGTTCACTCCTGTAATCCCAGCACTTTGGAAGGCCAAAGCAGGTGGATCACTTGAGGTCAGGAGTTCGAGACCAACCTGGCCAACATGGCAAAACCCCATCCCTACTCAAAATACAAAAATTAGTTGGGCATGGTGGTATGTGCCTGTAGTCCCAGCTATTTGGGAGGCTGAGGCAGGAGAATCCCATGAACCTGAGAGGCGAAGGTTGCAGTGAGCTGAGATCACACCACTGCACTCCAGCCGGGGCGACAGAGTGAGACTACTTCTCAAAAATAAAATAATAATTAAAAAAAGAAGATAGTATGGAACCTGTCTGGGATTTACTGACTTTCTGTAGGTAGATGGGTCAAAGAAGAGGCTGGGATAGCTGTAAGAAGACCTGCAGCGGCAACTTAAGATAAGCTAGCTGTCCCAGAGAGGCAGATGTGAGAAAACCCTACCTTGTCTACATCATGTGACGGTCAATGTGTTTACCAAAAGGAAAATTTAAAATGAATTTTAGAAAATCAAATAAAATCATCTAAAGCACAAAAGAATCCTTTTGCAGCAAAGATTACTCATGAATGTGATTGCTCTACTTTGCATGTATGTAATTTTGTCTAAATTTATTAAGCAGTACATACTAAAAGTGTGTACTTAGAGTACATTATAAACTTTAACAGCTTCTATATGTTGGAAGAAATGTGTCAACGTAAATAAAAGGGACAGAAAGCTCAGAATGATTGCAGCTGACCACAGCCAGCTATGCGTCGTACAGCTCCAGGGGCTAAAGTTTTCATTTTCGGTGTCATACCAGCCCCTATCTGTAGTTATATATGAGACCTCCATCCCAAATCGTTATTTGGAAAGATGCCCAAGGGCTTTGTTACAATCCCATGACACTCATCTTTCCAGAACTGACTTTTACTTCGGAAGGGTCCCCATGCACCCTCCACCTTGATGTTCCTCCAAGGCTGCACTGTACCAGCAGTGAGAGAGACACACATCTCAGGTATTACATGTCACTTGCACTGGACAGATACAATCAACCCTCATTGAGGCACATTTCTCAGGGGTACAGAGTCAAGGGTAAGCCATAACAGCTGGTAACAAAACATCTCATTTAAGTAGGTTTTGCTTTTGTATGTACACCTGAAGAAATATGTCTGAGAAGTCTCTTAAATCAAAATAATGAAGCCTCAGTGTGCAGAGATGACTCAAGAGGAGCTGGGAGTCTTGTGGCCATTGTATTCCTGCTATGCTCCTCTCTTTAGGTTACTCTTTCTGGATGTCTGGAATACCCTCTTTCAAACATTTCCTACAGGAAATGGAAAAATATTTGGCTTTCTGAGTGCAACTGTCATGAAAAATAAACAGAAGGGATTAAGAGACCAACATAGCTGGAATAAAACAGGTATTGAATATTACAGACAAGAGGAAAACAAGCATGATGTGAGAGTACATGCTGTCAGAATCTATAAAGCAAGATAATTTTTTCCTAGCCATCAAAAGGTGGCTCTAGACATGTGAATTTCTGTATCCTCACTACAAGGAAGTCGTTGTATTTTAAGACCACTAACAGCAGCTTTTGTTTTGGAGACCTCTCAAATGCCTTAGGCAAGTCTTGAAACTTAAACTTTTTGACATATAAGCAGCTATTTATTATTTGAGAGCAGTTTCTTCTGGCTCGCTCTCAAAGAAACAGCAGCAGGGACTGTTGGTTATGTAGTTTGACCTAAATGCAGTACAGTGTTAATCCCCAGAAGACAGGAAATAGATCCAAGTCATGGCTGAGGTCAAGGTTGAAGAGTTTTGGGAATTGATTTCTAAGGACTTACTTTTGACATCTTGCTTTTGCTGTCTCCGGTTAAAAATGCCAAATTATTAATTTCATTCTGAATCACAAAATTTTGCTCTTCCCTCTTGAAGTTCTAAGTGGGAAAGAATTGAAAAAGCAAACATTACAAGAAAGTTCTGGAAACCAAAAAGATTCTAAGCTCCCCAGGTAACTGAATAGACTCCGCCTCTCAGCCAAGGTGATTCCAAAAACCGAAAAACAAATTCGTGCCATGATGAGAAGAGGGGGTCAGGCATGTCTCATTATACCCTCTCCTTGTTAGAGTTTAGGCATATATGACCAGCATTAACATTAAAACAGAGATCTTAAGAGTGACCAGATAGACTCTTGTCAGCAATAAGACACCAAATTCCAACCTGCCTCTAGTATCGCATCACATGATTGACAGCAGGCCTTGAAGGCAGCAAAAATATTTTACCCCAAAATATATTTATTTGACATATTTTAAAACGGCCCTGGAAAGCTGTCTCTCCTGTGGGGGAAATTCACCTTCTGTAGAGAATCCTCTTCCCTTTCCAGGTCTTTTTCTGATGTTGAAGAGATTAAATGAGAGCCTAGCACCTTTTAAATGTCTGAATATGAAACACTTGCCACCTGTTGTCTCTATGGGTGGCCACGTACGAGACTTCATCTACATAATAAGAATGTTGGTTTCTACAATCCCTTGTCTTACACACTGTTTCTATTGATTCTAGGTTTTTAGGTAACTCTGACAACCGTCAATCAGAAAATCTTTGAATCCACTTATGATCTGGACGCCCACTACCTATCCCTGCAAGATGTCCTGCCTTTCCAGGCTAAACCAAGGTATACTTTACATGTATTGATTTATGCCTCTGTCAGTAACTTCTGTCCCACTGAAGTATATAAGGTCAAGCTGTAACCCAACCACCTTGGGCACATGTTCTCAGGACCTCCTGAGGCAGTGTCATGGGTCATGGTCCCCATGCTGGCGGAGAATAAATTTCTTTAAGTACTTTATAGAGTTCAACTTTTTTCGTCAACAGTTTTCCAAGGTCTGCAGCTTTCACAACTATTCTAAACCCAGAGCCCAAATGTGTTCTTACATGAGATTTACACCACAGGATGAAGACTTCTGCCACCATGCGGAAGAGCTGGTCAGAATCAGCATCAGGGCTTTTGAGCCAGTTAGATCTGTGCCAAAAAGTAAATGAATAGGCATTTGAAATTCAGTAGGGATTAAAATATTCACACCCTAAAAATTATACCAACATTGGCAACACACATTAATCCAGATCAAACTGCACTCTCATATGCAAGCAATAATCAGAGACTAAATAGCAATATTTTCCTTAAACATTTAGATGGAGGTACATAATTGCAGTAGATTTTTTTGAAGGATCTACAATAATTATTTGCATTTGCCAAAGGATTCAAGAATTATCTTAGCAAGCTGATGTCAGAGATCAACATTTCAAAATGGTCAAAAGTAGGTTTTGTTTTTTTCTCTAAACTAATTAGTTGATTTAGGGTAAGCTTTAAGTTTTGGAACATGCTTCCTTTAATATGTAAGGCTAGCAAAAGTAGGCAAGTCTTGGTCACTGTGACAACTAACGTTGTCCTTGACACTTGTCATTGTCAAACCTCTGACATTCTGAGCACTCTAAACAGTTCATGTCCCACCCTTTTCCTTTAAAACCAGTTTTATGAATGAAATTTTTAAGATATGTTTTTCACTATGATTTGAAGTGTATAAACAGAGATCAATTATCCTCTATGCCCTCTAAAAATGGTTTGAAGATTCCCAATAAATAAACATTACTCATAAAAAAAAATTAGACTGGTTAAGAAATTCTGCAGTAGCAGCAAGAAGGCTAAACTGCAGTTTCAGGAACTCAGTCATTTCTACAAGCTGTCTTACTGTGAAGTATCTTACATACTCTATTTAAATTATATTTCAAAGGGTTGGGTGAGTTGCCATGTTCAAATATCTACATAGAGTAACTTAAAAAAAAAAAACCCACTGTTCTCTGCTCAACACTTCTGATATAAAATATGTGGTGTTTTTCCTCACATTAAGCAATTCTTCAACTCTTCAGACACTGACTGGATACCCTACAATTCAAATATGACCCTAACTACGTGGAGCTCGGGCAGACCCCACAGGTGAAGGGCTCAGACCCACAAGCCTGCCCTTCACTTCAGATGCTGGTCTAAAGTCCCAGGTTGTGACCTGTACTTCTGACCAATTGGCTATAACCAACCCCTTCATTAGGTTCAATAATTTGCTAGAGCAGCTCACAGAACTCAGGAAAATACTTGATTTACTATTAGCAGTTTATTATAAAGGATACAACGAAGGAATAGCTAAAGGAAAGAGATGCATAGGGCAAGGATGCATGGAGTTTCCACGCCTCCTCCAGGCACCGCACCTTCCCAGTACCTTTGTGTGTTCAGTGACACGGACATCTCTGAACTCCATAGCTTGGAATTTTTTGCGGTGGCTCTATTATATAGGCATGATTGGTGAAACCACTGGCCACTGGTTATTAAACTCAATATCCAGTCCTTCTCCTTTTTCCAGAGGTCAGGGGAGGGTAAATTGTGGTGAGGCTCAAAGTTCCAACTCTCTAGTTGCAGAGCTGGTGTATCTGGCAACCAGTCCCCATTCTTCAAGAGTCACCTCATTAGAATAAACTGAGGTATGGTCGAAAGGGGCTTATTATGAATAACCAAAGATGTTCCTTTTACCCCTTTCCCTCAAGAAATTCCATAGGTTTTAGGAGCTCTGTATAGGAAGCAGGGATGAAGCCCAAATACATATTTATTATGTAACAATATCACAGTCCCATAAGTTAAACTATTGTCTTTCTTAAGGTAAAAAAAATTGCGTCTCAAAAATGGTTTGAAAAACCTAATGCCTCTTGCCCCAGGTAGGGTAACAGCTACCAAAAGCCAGTTCCCTAAGGCCTAGGACATCAAACTGAATTGCTGTGGGCAGCCTGTACCTCCTACCCATTCATGAGGAGCACCACACTAAGATATGTAAAGACTCATGAGGTCAAGATCACTTTGGGATCCTTCTTTTATCTCCTGAATTCCTTACTGCTCTTGGTTCACAGTCTCAGGTACATCCTTACCTAATCTTGTTTTCAGATTCAAGCAGCCTCTCCTTTATACAGCTGACATTACTGGTTGTCTACCCAATACTCATTCTCCTCTTCCTCCATAGTAATAAACCCCATTTTGTCCAGGGTGGCACTGTGCCCTGCTAAAGATCACATTACTCAGCTTCCTTTGAGCTATAGCTATGTAACTAAGTTCTGATCAATAAGATGAATGTAGAAATTGTTGGATGGGCCTCCTGGAAATAAATCTCTAAAAATGGATCAGATAGCTGAAGGTGCCTTTTTGTCTTTCTCCTGTTGATTTCCTACTTCCTGTCTGGAATGAAAATATGATGGCTGGAACTCTGATTGGCATATTACATCATAAAGTAACTTCAAAGATGGAAGGCAATGTTAAGGATATAAGGACAAAGGAATGAGGGCAGGTGTGGTGGCTCACGCCTGTAATCCCAGCGCTTTGGGAGGCTAAGGTAGGTGGATCACTTGTGGTCAGGAGTTTGAGACCAGCCTGGCCAATGTGGTGAAACCCCATCTCTACTAAAAAAATAGAAAAATTAGCCGGGCATGGTGGTGGGTACCTGTAATCCCAGGCACTTGAGAGGCTGAGGCAGGAGAATTGCTTGAGCCCAGGAGGCAGAGGTTGCAGTGAGCACCGAGATTGCACCAGTGCCCTCCAGCCTGGGCCACAGAGCAAGAGTCTGTCTCAATCAATCAATCAATCAATCAACAATCAATAAAATGGAATGAGCCTTTCTAACAAGGAACAACAATACTGGCCCTAACTATCTTTGGATTTCTTTTCTGTGTGAGATTAAATTTCTCATTTGTTTAAGCCACTATAGCCAATTTTTCATTACTAGCAGCCAAATGCAATTCAAACTTGAGGCTTTAGGTTGGCAGTTTCCGATTTCTTTCCTATTGATTTTTCAGGGTCAAATATAAAATTTTATCAGAACTACCAGCTGTTCATTACTTAGTGTTTTGGTTTAAATGAGCTTGATGGCTTTTCAAGATGCCTTCAGTGGGTAAAGACGAGGGTCATATCCTATCTAGCCAAGGAAAAACACAGCCACTGGGACCATGAGTAGCAAGAACATCAGGAACAAAATCTTGGGTAACATTTCCTGGTGGGAGAAAGAAGAGGATTTTCATTTTGTCTCCTTCATGTGGGAATGCAGCTTCAGCAGAACATATTTTGCTTTGACCACCCCTCTTCTAAGAGGCAGATATTTACTCTTTATCTCTAGTAAGGTTCTTTCTTCAAGCTCAGAGGGATGAGTGCAAAAAAAAAAATCCCATTAAAGGTTTTCTCTAGGTATACAAGTCAAAGAAGGTATTTGTGGGAGAAGGGAAGATCCTGACCTAGCTTTTTGTGTTCGCTTATACCCTCTCTGCCCCCAGTTAATGCAACCAGGTGTCTCTCCTGCTGGCTCCCAGTCTCCCATGGGATTCACCATCTCTGTCAATGCTACTCATTAGACTCTCTTGTAGATAACCTAGCTGATCTGTGAGTCTCTTTTATCATCTGCACTGCTTGCTGCCAAAAGGCAGCTGGAAAACTCAAGGCTGTAAGAAGAGAAGAAGGTTGGGTTTAGAGGTAACCATCAGAGATTCTGCCACATGCAGGAGATGGCACATGACTCGAATAAGGTACACTGTCCTCATTAAGTAATTTCTCGTCCCTCAGCTCCATCCAACCCTTCCGAGTCTCCGATGTCTATTACTCTATACTCTATGTCCATGTGTACTCATTATTTAGCTCTCACTAAGTGAGAACGTGTGGTATCTGACTTTGTTTCTGAGTTGTCTCATTTCAGAAAATGGCCTCCAATCCATCCATGTTCTTTTTAATCACTAAATAGTGCTCCATTGTGTGTGCATATGCGTATCCCACTTTTTTCAAATGCAGGCATCCACTGACGCATGCTTGGGTTGATGTCAAATCTTTGCTATTGTGAATAGTGCCGCAATAAACATATGAGTGCAAATATCTTCTTGATATAATGATTTTTTTTCCTTTGGGTAGATACCTAGTAATGAGATTGCTGGATTGAATAGTTCTATTTTTAGTTCTTCGAGAAATTTCCATACTGTTTTCCAGAGAGGCTGTACTGGTTGATGGTGACACTAAAAGTCTACACTTCGCCACTAAGCAATGTATCCACGTAACAAAACTGTACTTGTACCCCTTAAATTTGTAACAACCAAAAGAGCAGCAGCAACCCAAGTGGATGAAATAACTGAGCATAGTCACAGAGAAAACATGAAGCATAAGAACAGAATCCTTGGTGGTGGCAGGAGTAAGGAGACTCACACTTCTATTTTCAAAAAGACAAGGCTGGGTGCCGCGACTCACTCCTCAAATCCCAGCACTTTGGTCGCTGGGAGGACAGATCACCTGAGGCCAGGAGTTCAAGACTAGCCTGACCAACACGGCAAAACCCTGTCTCTACTAAAAAATGCAAAATTAGCTGGGCATAGTGGTGCATGCCTGTAATCCTAGCTACTCAGAAGGCTGAGGCAGGAGAATCACTTGAACCCGTGAGGCAGAGGTTGTGGTGAGCAGAGATTGTGCCACTGCACTCCAGCCTGGGTGACAAAAGCAAGACTCCTTCTCAAAAAGAAAAAAAGACAAATGATCAGGTTTTGAAAGAAAATAAAGCCATGCTCCTGAATTCACAGTCAGCATGTCTACTTCAGAGGTGAGAGCTCTTTTTTAAGCTTCGCTCCAAAGCCTCCCCTGGAAGACCCAGCCCGCGGCAGTCACTGCGTGGGATTTACTCTAATTCCCTTCAGTAGTTTCAGAGACAGGTTTCCACCAAAAATATCACTATTTAAGTTCAATGCGAAGTTCTAAATGTTTTTGGCTCCTAGGAAAGATGCTAAGAAGCCACTGCCTCTTAGAGAGAGTTATTGAATCTGTCTTGAGTTTTACCTCCTGACATGAGGAAATGAAGCACTTCTGTGCCCCCTGCCGAGCACACCACCCCTGGTTCTTGCTCATTCTGGGTCAGCTGCAGGTTGCACACTGACCAAACGAAGCCGCCCTTCAGAAGAATATTTCGG